AGGGCAGGGCCTGTGTGGCCCTCAGGGCTCTCCAGAGCAGGTAGTACAGGGCCCAGACCACGAGCTGGCAGGCCTCCCTCCCTCCGACCCTGGCCACTCCTCGCCAGGCGCTGCTCATCTTGCTCCTTTCTCGATGACCCTGGATCAGCTTCTCCCTAGCTCTTCTCCCGACCCTTCCCCTGCATCCCTTCGTCTCCAGGCTTCTTGTCCCAAGGGGCAAAAGTCTATTTTTGCCTCTCCAGATGCCCAATTCTATAAAAGACAAAAGAACAGAAAACTGGACAGGGTCCAATTCTTTCATCGTCTGTGGACGGCTTCAACCTTTTCCCTGAAGAGGGGTCAGCTTGGATCAGCCCACTCAGCAGCCAGGACGGTCTTTCCTCAGCCTGATGCCACTCAGCTTGGGCTCCGGGGCGGCTGGGCTTGTTGTTATGTCACTAACTTGGACCATAAGCTCTGGGCACATCAAACATGCCATGTGCGGGCATGCTTCCCTGCCCTTGTGCAGGCTGTCTCGTCTGCAACACCTTCCCCCCTGTTCACCAGGTGAAATTCTTCAAATCCTTTAGGGCCGTGCATAAACGTCACCTCTTCTCTGTAGCCTTTCCCTCAACCAAAATAAACAAATTGCTTCCTGCTTTCTGTCTTGTGCAGACATCTACTAGTGTCCTTATCAACTCAGACTAATTTACTTTTAAGTCTCTCAGCCGTGAATCAGTGAGTTGCCCGAGGGCTTGGGACTGTGTTTCATTTACCCCTCCGTGTCCAGCACTTAGCACAGTGCTGAGCTTGCAGGCAGTGTGGGTCGAATGGAAGGGAAATGGGTAAGGCCCAGGCACTGGAATGATGGTCCAGGTCAGCCAAGATCTTGTAGGAAGCATCTGAGAGGCAATGTGGGGCTGGAGGGGCAGCAGACAGAAGGAAGGGGCAGCCAAGGACCATGCAGGTGTACACAGGTTTAATGTTGGCTGCAGATGATGGAAGGCAGGTTTGGACAGGCCATGGGAGAGGAATCCACCTGAGGATTCCACAGGAGATGAATCAACCTTCAGGGGGACTCAAAGAATTCTCTCACAGGACGAAAATCCTGGGTCAGATGGATAAGGACGGGCAACCACCACTGGGCCTGGTCCCAGGAAGGACTGGGCTCTGTCTCCGGGGCCTCCCCTCCCCTCCCCGGGAGCAGGCTCTATCCAAAGGCTGTTCTGTGCCTTTCTGCCTCACCTGCAATGACCTGTCAAGGGCCACCTCTCACCCACAGGCCCAGGAAGTCTCTGGG